ATATATTGATGTTGTCTAATATTTATTTATTTACAAATAGGACTACAAATTGAATATTGTCTTTTTCTCATGACGCGGCTTAAATATTACAGATGCAGCCAACACAAATATATTTATGTACTTTTGAGTTACGAACTTCAAATCAGAAATGTTTTCTATGAAAATTGCTATCATCTCAATCTAAATCGAACGTGCATTTTTAATCATGAACATTTTTATAAATATCTCTCTAGTTTACGGTAACTTCATTAATCTGAATAATGATTTATATCATAGAACAATTTGATGATATATATATTTTATACTAGAAAGTTGAATAAATTCTCCGGGAGGATTAGAATATGCGGCTATTGCTATAATACTGCTCAAGTTGTAAGACGAAAACAGGCTTTTAAAATTTAGGTAAAACTAGTAAATGTCTATGCCTCAAATATTTATGTTTACACGTATTTGTTAATTAAATAAATGACTGTTATTATAAAAGTATATAATTGCAATCTACAGTAAACAAAAAGTCCCATTGTTAAACTGTATTCGATATATCGATAAAACTCGTAGACGAGAGATATGTTCCTTTATCAACACCTAACTCTTGTAACAGTCGTCGCGATACGGTGCAGGTTGCTGGAATAATGTAGGTCATGATTCCGTCTCGTGTTTAATTATTAGTTATTAGATAATGAAATAAGTATAAAAATTTAATTCTCTGGATGGTTGCGTCGCCTCCCAGCGCCGCGACTACTGTTACAAGCATGCGTAGCACGACAAACTCGAGAAACGCTTTGCCTACACCATTTGTCACTTTTCACCGGTCGAGAGTATATTGTGTGGGCGCATCTGAAAAAAGTAACAAATGGGTGTAGACAAAGCGTTTCTCGAGTTTGTCATGCTATGCGTAGTAGCCGCTCGACCGCACAAGTCTTTCAATGAAATCATCAACACCTGTACATATAGATTTTAATCATTTATTCAACAATAAACAAAGGTGCTCAAATCAATTATTTTCACGGGTCGAATCTACTTGACAGGGTTTTTAGTTTTTTTTTTTATTTGACTTAACTATAAATAATTAATATTGAGTATGCATAATATGATTCTCTTGCAAAACAACGAATTCAGACAAAAGACGAAGGATTTACATTTGATTTTTACTGCATAATTCAAAAGATACACTGCACTTGAATATGTCTGTTACCATTTGATTGCTAAAATTGTTTGCATCTAATAAATTTGTTTGCATCCGTTTTGCACCGTAAAGAGTTCGTTTGCCATTTGAAAAACCGTTTTTACTAACGAAGATAGTTTTGCTAAAGACTAATCACCAATATTCCAAGGTATAAAGGAGGAAGAGAAGAAAACGAATTTAAGATAAAAAATAATCTAAAGTAGACCTTATTGCACACTATCACAAAATTTTTACTCATGGTTGCTGTTTATGAAAAGAGTCAGTCTTGAATATTCGATGGTATTTTCGACTATGCAAATATGGAAGTTTATTATTACTATCTAAGTAGAAATCAATGTAAGTTTAATCTCAACAATGTCATCTAGGAGATTAATTAGCACTTGGATATAATAAAACATTGAATAGGTTAGTAATAACATGTTGAACCGCCGAACGATCAATCATCTACAGTAATAGCTGTTTTATAATCGCTCGATATCTCTATATGTAGGCTTTGAACGTAATACGCCCAGTAAATATCGAGGTTAATTCATGTTTTTTCCCAAACATAATTCAAATGCCGTAGTGAGTTTATCGATAACGAAAAATTTGTAAAAATTAACCTTAGAATGTCTTTCTGTAAAACGTTCAAACTGTGTACAGTAGATGTTACATAAACGAGTCAGTTCCAACAGCTGCCCATTTCGGACATACAATAATAGTTATTCATTTACATAACACCAATATTCATTCAAATTATAAAAACATTTATCCAACAACCACTCCCTTAATCGTATTTTAAACACATTTCCATTAATACTTTTTAATCTTAGGGGCAGTTTATTAAATATTTTGACTCCAGCAACATAAGTGCTTTTGTCAAGTATATAACTAGAGGATGAGATAGTACATATGTCATGCTTATGTTGCGATCGAATGTTAGTTTTTGTCATTTGCTTTTCGATAAAGTACTCACTATGATTCTTAACAAAAACACAAATTTCTAATATATATATGCATGTCAAAGTTAAATATTTATATTTTTTATAAATAGGTCGTATTGATTCCATACAATGAATTTTATAAATGATTCTTAAACATTTTTTTTGTAACATAAACGTAGAATTAACATTAACAGAGTTTCCCCAAAATATTATCCCATATGTCAAGAGTGGATATACATAACCATAATATACGTTTCTTGTAACGTCAGTAGAAGATACATTCGTCAATATTGATAATACATAACATTTTGCTGAGATTTTTTTGTTAATTTTAATAATATGAGACTTCCAATTCAAATTGGGATCGATAGTAACACCCAAAAAAAATATTTCTACTGCTTCTTCTATTTTCTTATTGTCAATTTCTATATCCAAATCTTGCACAACTTCTTTATAATTTCTAAATTGCAGAATCTTTGTTTTTTCCAAGTTCACTTTTAGATTAAGAGTCGATAACCAATTCATCTCAGTTTTTAGGGTGTTGCAAATTTGAATATTAAATTCCGTGTCAGTTAGTTTATCTTTTGGTATAAATATTATAGCATCATCAGCGAACATAACACATAAGTGCCTCACTAGAAATTGTAATTCGTTTTTATATATTAAAAACAATAAAGGTCCCAAAACGCTGCCTTGTGGGACTCCTATTTTATTATTTTCAAAGTCAGACTGAACTGTAGTCATTACTTTTGCTTTTTTATTAAAAGTGTTGAGAACTGTAGCTTAACATCGGTTTTTTAAATAAGATTGTAGTAATTTATGAGCATTACCTTGAATTCGGACATGTTCTAATTGCGATAAAAGGATATTAGGCATAACAGTCAAATGCTTTGGAAAGGTCTAAAAATAGACCAATACATGTATTTTTATTATTTACCACAGTCCAAATTGGTTTTAGTATTTTAAAAATCGCTAATGTGTTATTTTTTTGCTTTTGAAACCTTATTGATTTGAATTCAATATGAACTCAAGGAACGACATTACTCTACTATAAATCACCTTTTCAAATAACTTAGCAAGATTAGATAATAGTACGATGGGCCTGTAGTTACCCATTTCAGTCTTGGAGTCTCTTTTATGTACAGGCTTAACCAAACCCTTTTTCAAATCATCTTACAATGTTTTATTTTTAATAAACACAAAAAAGCAAAAACTTTTGAATCCATTTTTATCCCATTTATTTAACATACCTACATGCGGCCTATACCTACATCTTTTATACACGGGAACAATTGTGACTTTTGTTTTATTGCTCATTGGCTTTATACGTAACATATCTTGACGATCTTAGAAGCCTCGCGATGACTGAAAATGGGATACGGCTTTCTTACTTTACGATGACTATGTCAAGATAACTTCTTGAAGGCAGAGTGGATTGATTGATTTATCTTATTTATTTTGTTTCTAGGTTTTTTGATATCTTATTATACTCAAAAACCATGAAATTGGTGTAACTTTTCGAAAGTTAGTTAAGAGTAAACAAATTAAAATTATAACCACGCCATCAACAACTTTTGCCCTCTACGGTTTTGCGCACTTAATTTCCTCTAATTTATAATACATGAATGTGAGATACGTGAGGCAGCTACTAGATCGCTTGACCTTGACAAATGCATAGTATACAAATTAATTAACGCGAGCGGTAAAATATTAATAGCGCGATCATTCTAGGGTTAAAAACTTTTCAATGCAGTGTTATTGGTTTAATATACCTATTATTTTTAATGCCTACAAAATCGGCATCACCTCCATATCAATTAATAATTCATAATATGTAAATGTTCTCATATAAAAAATTTTCATGTAGGTAACGCGAAGCTTGAGAGGGTGGGTAAACTTTTAAGTGGTAAAAAGTAATTTAAGATTACTTTGTTAACTCAGAACATGTATTATTTGTTTCGTCCCATAATACAGAATAAGCAAACGTTCAGTCACTGTCAAGTGTAAGTAATTGAAAATCGGGATTGATAGCTCACAGTGAAGATTAGTTCTGAATCATCTTAGTTACACGTGAAGTTGATTTAATTTTTGTAATTAGATACTTTTTACAAAAATAAATAACAATATTATTGATTAAAGTAACTACGTGTTTGTTTAGTTCTACATTTCATTATATATTTTTTATATTATCTTTAAGTATATGTTAGTATAATTAGATATTAACAAGGCACGTTGTTTCTGACTTGTCTGTCTAAAAATAACAAGAAAAAGGTGTAGTCATTTTAAAATATTGTACTCGTACAAGGAATATATTACTTACTACTAAAGCTAATGCTTTGGATCGCAAATTCGATATATTGCAATTTTTGCTTTTTCGTAGCCAAAGGGTGATAATGACACTCTGTTACTAAGATTTCGCTGTCCGGTTGTCCGTCTATCGCCAAATTGCATCTCTTGAACTATGCTAGCTAGACAGTTGAAACTTTCACCGATGACTGTATATCAATAATAAAAAATATCAGAAATCAATAAATATTTAAGAGCCTCCTATACATTAAACGTGTTCTTTTTTGCATTTTTTATAGATAACGGTGCGGAACCTTTTGTGAAATTAAAACTCCTTTGTTTAATTTTTAAACTGAAGCGATTTATGTTTTTTTAATGTATGCTGCTTATATTTCTCTTTGGTTTTTAATAGGTGTAAGACAGTAAACACCATTTATCATTTATTAAATTTAATAAATTATTTTCATAGTTTAATTAAGTCTAGAAATATATATTTTTATGAATTATTAACAAGTGATACACAATACCTGCCGGCAAGTGTTATCCTTTAAAATTATCTTCTACAACTTCACAAAATCACTGTTTGGTCACTACACTTCACTAAGATGGAAGCTTTGCAAGAGTCAATTCTCAAGCTACAACAGATGTTCACTGAGAAAATGGATGAATACCAGAGTGAGCTTCAAGCTGCATGCCCATCACCCAACATCAACAGTTTAAAGAGTGATTTTTCTGCTTTCCGCTCCTTCATTTTTACTGCTATTCAAGCACTTCAGCAACAAGTTGGTCTCCTTGCACAGCAAGTTGATAATATAGAAATGCGAAGCAGGCGAAAGATGCTGTTGTGTCACGGACTGCCTGAGCTGAAAGGCGAGGATACCTCAGCTGTGATAAAGAGTATCATTGTTGACCAGTTAAAAGTCGCCGATTTCTCTGTCGAAAGCATCAGCAAATGTCATCGTATGGGGCGTGTGTCTGGCGATGGTAAGCCTAGGCCCATACTCATCAAACTACGTGATATCAATATGCGGGACAAAATTTGGTTTGCTAAGACCGCACTCAAAAAGTCAGGGATTACGATATCCGAATTTTTGACAAAGTCGCGGCATGTTGTTTTTATGGCAGCTCGGGACGCATTTGGCGTCAACAAATGCTTTACACAACAGGGACTTATTATGGTGATCGGTGCAAACGGGAAGCGTGTGCGCATTACTACCATGGATGACTTGAAGAAGATCTCTGTGACAGCGGATTCACCATTGAAAGTTACCAAGGAGCCCACGGTCACGCTTCCAGTAAAGCCTGTATTTACAACGAAGAGTAGACGTGCTGGTATCGCAAACAAAAAGTGAAGTTCTTCTCATAATCATATCAGTTACAGGTCTGTGTATGATTCCAATAAATTTCAGTTTAACTTAGTAATTTCGAGTAGGAACAAATTTTAAATTAAAATATCACCCTCGTATGTTATATTCAAACTCTTTTTTTAACAAATAACCTGCAAACAACTTGTTATTTTGACAGTGATATGTATATGACAGGAATTATTGTTTTGTGAGAGCAAAGGGATTTATTCCATACAGCCTACTTTTCTTTATTTTGTTAGTAGAATAGTGTGTTACTTTGTTTCTTTAAGGTTTCACACCTGACCTGTTACTTAATTTATTTCGTAATTTTAAATCTAATAAATTTATTTTATAATATAATATGTTATTTAACACTGCAGCCGGTGGATAGAGAGAGACAGTGTTTTGGATATTTGGTAGTTAATATTAATATTTTTTTATTACATTTTGTGTTTTATATATTTACTTATATTTAGAATATTATGCCTAATATACATGACAGTGATAATGAGCTATACTTATCATTGTCATCTATCGATGGCAGCAGCACCAGTAGTGGTGATAGTTTCTCTAGTGTACCTTCGCTTCCTGATATACTTGAAACTCAGTTCTCCGATGTTCCGAAAAACTTTAATGTCATTCACATCAATGCGCAGAGTATTCCGGCTCATTACCCTGACATGCTGGCGTCGTTTACCCACAAAAACATTCATGCCATACTTATCTCCGAGTCATGGTTAAAACCTTGTCTGTCCTCTCTTTCTTATGCTTTACCCGGATTTCATCTCGTACGTAATGATCGCATCGGTTCTGTTGGTGGTGGTGTAGCTATTTATTTAAGATCCAACATTCCTTTCAACATTATAAGCAGTTCACCGCAGCCACCGTTGTCCAATGCAGGCGAACATTTGTTGGTGGAAGTTACTCTTTCACACACCAAGGTTCTACTCGGAGTTTATTATAGCCCTTCTTTACGCGTTAATTACTTTGATACCTTTGAAAAATTACTGGATGAGTTTGTTCCATCTTTTACTCACTCGATTATCATGGGAGATTTCAACACCTGTCTTCTCAAAAATGACCACCGTTCTTCTACTCTTCAAAGAGTTATCGACTCGAGCAACATGCACATTCTTCCGCTTAATGCTACTCATCATTTCCCTAACTCTACGCCTTCTCTTCTCGATCTATCCATAGTATCCTCTCTACAGCATGTTGCAAAATATGGACAATGTTCAGCTGATGCATTCTCTTACCATGACCTTATTTATGTGTCCTATAAAATTCGTCCTCCTAAATTGAAACCTAAAGTCATTTTTCAACGCAATTTTAGTGGTATGGATCGTGACCAATTTCTAGAGGACGCGCGTAGTATTGACTGGTCTTCAGTGTGTGATGCTCAGACTGTAGATGAGCAGGTTGGGATCTTTAATTCTCTAATTAACCAGCTATACGATAGGCACGCACCTTTCCGACCGATAAAACTGAAACACTTGCCTGCACCTTGGCTTACTGATGACATAAAAAGCTTAATGCATAAAAAAGCTGTTGCTAGGAGCAGATATAAATGTCGTCCGACTGCCCATAACAGAGAGACCTACAACAAAATTCGAAATCGCTGCAATGTGGTGTGTAGGGATGCATTGCGTCGCCATATCCATAAATCTGTCCAAAATGAAGATCCAGGGAAAGTCTGGAATTTTCTCAAATCACTTGGGATTGGTAAATCAAAACAGTATTCTATTCCTATTGATTTAAATATTGACTCCCTCAATATCTTCTTCTCTTCTTCGTCTAATATTAATGACACTGAAAAAAACCATACTTTAAATCGTCTTTCCGTATTACCAATTCCTAATCATCCTCAGTTCTTTCTTGATCAATTTTCGGATTGTGATGTTGAGAAGTGTGTACTGTCAGTCACCTCCAATGCGGTTGGTAGTGATGGTATAAGCCGAAATATGTTAGTACCAATCCTTGACATTATTCTACCTGTCCTTACTTTTCTCTTCAATAGCTCTATTTCTAATTCCGTCTTTCCTTCTTCTTGGAAAGAAGCTCAAATAATTCCATTACCTAAAGTTAGCAATCCCAAAATACTTAATGAATTTCGTCCTATTTGTATTCTTCCTTTCCTATCTAAAGTCTTGGAGCGTCTAATCCATCAACAGATTAGTAAATTTATTTCTCGCCACAACCTTATGAATCCTCTCCAGTCCGGCTTCCGGCCCGGCCATAGCACGACCACAACGCTAGTAAAAATTACCGATGATATACGTCTTGCGATGGAAAATGGCCACTTGACGGTACTAACATTATTGGACTTCAGTAATGCTTTTAACACGGTTGATTTCGACGTACTTCTTGCTTTGCTGCGCTTACTTAACATATCTCCAACGTTAATTGATTGGTTTCACAGCTATCTGTATGGGCGCAAGCAGCGAGTCCGCCTTGATGAGAAGTTCTCGTCATGGTGTGACACGAAAGCTGGTGTCCCTCAAGGCGGCGTATTGTCTCCCTTTCTATTTGCAATCTTTATTAATTCTATTTCTCAAAATCTTTCGTGTTCCTACCACCTATATGCAGACGATCTTCAGATTTACTGTGATGCACCATTCTCTAAAATATCTGAAGCAGTGGTAAATATTAATCTCAACCTTCAACGTATTGAAAAATGGAGTAAAGCTTTTGGTTTGAGTATCAACCCTGTAAAAACTCAAGTGATGATAACGGGTAGCTCCAGATTACTCTCCAGGCTTGACTTCCAGGCACTTCCGAAAGTTGTTTTTGATGGTATAGATATTCCCTTTAGTCAAGTTGTCAAAAACCTGGGGGTACTTATGGACAGTTGTCTGAATTGGGGTCCACAATTGCAATTGATTAGTCGTAAGTTATACGCGTCAGCTGCTTCAATGAAGAGATTACGTAACTTTTTACCCACTGCCACTAAAGCTGCGTTAGCGCAATCTTTGCTGCTTCCTATCCTAGATTATGCCGACGCCTGTTACCTTGATCTTTCGGAGGACCAGCTTAATAAACTTGAGCGACTTCAAAACTTTTGTATCAGGTTCATCTTTGGCTTGCGCAAATATGACCATGTTTCTCAGTTTCGCACAGAGCTCAAGTGGCTTCCTATGCGTCTTCGCCGGAATTCTCATATACTATCCCTTCTTTATAATATTTTATTTAATCCCAGTTACCCAAACTATCTCAAAGATCGATTCAATTTTCTCCACTCCGCAAATTCATATGCATTGCGATCAACGGAGAACTTGACTCTTGAAATTCCTTCTCATTGCACTTCCTTTTTCGATTCCTCGTTTACCGTCAAAGCTGCTCGTCTCTGGAATTCTCTCCCAGTTTCGATCAGGAGAGCTCAATCCCTACCAACATTTAAAGTTTACGTCAAAGAATTCTACCTTTCACAATAATTACTATGATGCTGCTGCACTGTTACTTATTCCAGATTTGTTAATATGTGTATATATGTATTTATATATGTAGATCATATAGATGTATGCGATTATTATTATATAATATCATATTTATATAAATATTTATTGTAGGTATGTAATTTTTGTTTTTATATTCATTGTTGCATTTAATTGTAGATATATTGTTGTTCAAATGTACACCCCCGTCTCCGTTATAAAGACTATCTCTTTCTCCATCCAAAGGTTGCCTGGAAGAAATCGCTTTAAGCGATAAGGCCGCCAATTGTTTGCATTTTAATTAAGTTTAATTTGTTTGTTTCTGTAAATAGTGTTATGTCAACAATAAAGAGTTATCTATCTATCCTGTAAAATATATTGATTGTCAGTTCAGACTGAACTGAATTAAAATAAATTAAAAACACAGTGTTGATAAAAGAGGTTGTTATCAGAAGGTATACGTTCCTCAATGTTTTCTTATGTAAATTAGAAAAGAAACTAGGTCGATGGATAAATGCCGATCCTTATTACGTAACAATCCTATGAGTTAGATTCTTCTTTCTTGTAGTCTCCCAACCTCGAATGGTCTTGTGCTAATTTTGTTCGGTTAAATTAAACAAACAACACGAGAGAGTTAATGGAGTGGTTTCTCATTACTAATTTCATTCGATGTTATGTTAGTGCTGGACGTGTTTTTTTCCTTATCTACTAAAACGAACTGTAGACGCGTAGTAGGCGTCTCGGTTCAGCTGGAATAATCCATGATTCTCAATACGAAATTCAAAATAAATCTATTCGATAATTCGGAGATCGGGATGTTATTTTTATAAACTTTAGATTATTATTTTTGTCGTATTACTATTTTTATATCTTTGCGATTAATTATAGCGATTCGATAATAATAGAAGTGAGAGAGAGATATTTTAGAATAGGGGCAATTTTTAATTGGAAGATTTATCTTTTCTTACTTCCAAAACAGTTATTAAAATAAATATTAAAAAGTAAAAAAAGATGTAGTAAATTCATAATACTCCAACGCAATGCCATGAACGGATAATTCGACAAAGACTACGTACAGCGATAATAATGTTACAAAAATGTTGTTATCCATGAAAGAACACTGATGTTTTATGTGGCAAAATAAACAATAGATTGTTTATTATGAAAATCAATTTTATTTTTAAGAATTTATTACTATTCAAAATCCATTTTCATTTAAAATGTCATATCCCTAGTCATAGATTGGTCACGACAAGAGCGTTTAAAATTCGGGCGTTTTTAAGTGCTCGTACACAGTTATTATTTACGAGTTTTTTTTCATCTCAAAATTTGAGTTTTTCAGCGCCAGGTATTTTACAGTTATATAACCATAGTTATATTTATACCTTTTCCGTTAAAGCGTATGATGGCTCTTTATGTGTTCCAACGTCAAACAACCACTTTAAATACATTTCATCCATTAAAAAGGTTCATTCGTTAAGGTAGCAGGCATTAATTGTTTATAAAGTCATAGCCGTCGTTATTTGATTTGAATATTAGATTACTAACGTTTATAATAGTTAAATGGATTTTTAA